CTTTGGATCCTCTTTAGGTATTTGTCAAAGAAACGTTCATAGATCTATTAAAAACTTGTTCTATTGGAGTAAAAATAAATTAATAGAGCTGAGCTATTTAAATTCTTTATTGCAAAATGATAATTTATTATTGCAAGAAGAAGAAAGAATCAAGTTAAGCTGCTAGAATTGAGGAAGAAAGTTCATGAGTTGAATATCACTCTTGCAAGGATTGCATCGTGGTGGAGAGAATGTTTTAAAACTCATTTGTTGGAAGATGGAGAGCAAATTTATCAATTTTACCATTCATTTGCTACAACTAGAAGAGATGGAAACATGATAAATCAAATTTCTACTTCTAATGGAGGTTTTGAGATGGATCCTGAAATTAATTCAGTCAAGATCTGTTAAATTCTTTCAAAATAAAAGGAAGAAGAGACTTTGCATTCTAAATAAATGGCCGGTATTTCAATTTGAGCATAAGTTAAATGCGGATATGAAGAGGACGACTGAAGAAGATTTTCACAAAGAAGAGTTTTTTTCTATAATTATGAAGATGGACAATAATAAACCCCCCATATAATGATGGTGTTAATGCTTGTTTTTTAAATCCTTTTGGAGTATTGTAAATATGGAAGTTTTGAATGTTGTAAAGAATTTTTTTTTTTTATTTTGGGTTTAATGCTTGAGGTCTAGAAAGAAACTTTGGGGGTTAGTATTCCTAATCTTCCTAATGCATCTAAAGTAACAATATTCAGACCAATCAATTTATGTCAAACAATATACAAAATTGTTGATGGAATGATATTAAATAGATTAGAGAATTGACTTCCTTTGATTATTTATGAACAACAAAGAGCCTTTGTTCCAATAAGATCTATTTCAGATAATTGTCTTATAGCTCATGAGATATTAAATAAATTTAAATTTTCAAAGCTAAATATGGTTTTGTGTTAATAAAACTAGACATGGAGCAAACTTATGATTGCATGTGTTGGGAAACGTTGAATCATGTTTTAGTTGTCATAGGATTCCCTGGTAAACTTATAAATTTTATTATTAAAAGTATTAGTTTTCCTAAATTTTCTATTATCATCAATGGAAGGAAAAGTAACTGGATAAAGGCTGAATGTGGTTTTAGACAAGGTTGTTAACTATCCCCTTGTTTTTTTATTCTATGTTTGGAACTACTGTCTAAATTATTTGTTAAGAAAGGTTGGGATCTTTGTATTGCTCCAAATACAGGTGATGTACTAGTGATTGTTGAAGCCTTTTGGTTTAATTCTAAGAAGATAAATGAAATTCTAAAGGATTATTACGGTTGGACTGGGCTAAAGATCAACCTGGATAAATCAATGGTTATTTATTAAAATACGTTACTTGAAGAAGGAGAAGAAGAATAAACAAAATTCTAGGATATCGCATGGTTGCTGCAATTATTTATCTAGGAGTTAAGATGGCTCTTAGAATATTAAACGCTGTGGATTATCATAACATTTTGCATAAGAAAATGGAAAGACTTAATTCATTGGGCTTTCAATCATTATCATTGGCAGGAAAAATTTTGTTGATCAAATCATCTTTTTATTCAATTCCTTCTTATATTATGACTCATTCCTTGATTCTAAGGGGTATTCTAGATGATATTGATAAATATTGCACAAATATTTTATAGCATAAAGAACATGGAAAACATGGAATGCATTATATTTCTTGGAATGTTCTTTGTACTCATATTAGTCAAGGTGTTCTTGGAATTCAAGGTGCTTATGATAGACTAGACCTATTAAGGGCTCATATTTCTTGGAGCTTCATTCAAAATCATAATTCTTTTCTCGGTAAAATCATAGTGACAAAATATGGCAATGAACTTTGGAAAAAAAAAGAAACAAAGAGGAGCTCTTCTTCGGCATGGTACATTATTAAAGATGGTGCTCATTTTTTTAAACCAATCATCATATGACAAGTTTCCAGTGGTGTAAGTATAAATATCACAAATGATATTTGAATTATTGATAGAAGTTTAATTAAATGGTTAACAATGTGTAATATGTCAAATCTTTATAATAAAATTATTTCATTCCTTCTTGAAAAAAATGGTTGCAAGAATTTGTCTTTATTAAAAGAAGTATTTTTTCTTATGATTTGTTTTAGTGAATCATTGAAACTCCTATAATTACTGGACCATAAGGTGATCAACCAAAACTTCTTGTTTTCAACTCAAGCAAATTTGTCACAACATTAGCCTTTGAAGCTTCAATCAATCATTATTACGATGGAATCAAAGTTAAATGGATGATAAAAGTAACTTTAACCTCTAAAAAAGTTTTAATCTAGGGAGATTGCTTAATAATGCTCTTCCTACTAATATTTTGTTGAATCATAGGAAATTGCATGATTATGTGTTTTGTCCAAGATCCTATTTTCACTTAGAAGACGGTAATCACATTTCACTTCATTTCCATACATTAATTGACATATTTGCTATATTTAAGCAATGGGGAATTCAATTGCCAAAATTTATTAGTTTATCACATTGTATGTATGAATTGGAGAAAATCGTATATTCAAATTCTAGACTTGATAGAATTTATTTCTTTTTAGTATATTATAATTGGAAAGCAAGAAATAATTTCAAACATGGAGTAAATATTCCATCTCCTATTATGATTATAACCAATGTTCTTTTGGATTCAATATAACCTCAATCTTTTCCAATCTGCCAGAATTGTGATACTAACCAACATTATGTGTTGTCTAAAAATTGGTATCCTTCTCCTACAAATTGGTATAAGTTGAATGTTAATGCTTCTATGATGCATAATAATTTGGCAAGTATAGCTTGTGTTCTTCGAGATCATAAAGGAAGATTCTTATTAGCCTATGGGAAGAAGGCATTTCATTAAGATATTTCTCTTCAGGAGTTGATTGTTGTATTTAATTTCAAAAATGATATTCAAGATCAGATGATTGTTAAGAAATGTATTATCATTGAAGGAGATAATTTCTACATTATCAAGAGCCTGCAGAATTCAATGTTGAAGACAAAAGAGTTGAATAAATGTTGTCATAAATTGTATTTTTCTTTTCTAGAAGTTTTTAAAATTGTAGTTTTTCATTTTGTTTCTAGAGATAGTAATATAGTGGCTGATTTTTATTCTCATCAATCACTCTTAGGTTATTTTATTTTGGATGTTTTTGTTGAAGATGTCATCCTTGAAGTTTTATTGACTTGATTAGGAAGGATTGTGATAGATTGACTCGCACTTAGTAGTTTGTATCTTTTCTTATTTCATTAATGTTATTTGCATACCTTTCAAAAAAGTAAAATTCAACATTGCAACACCAGAGTTTCGAGAAAATTGCACAAAAATTCAATGTTGGAGCACCAACCTCGGAAGCACTACAGTACCATATGACATAAGCGAGAACTGTACCACCCAACTTTTGCAACACCAAATTGGAGCAATTGATGAAAAGAAGCGTTGCACTAGATTAATCAACCATCATGCTAGATCAAGATATAGCCTCTCTGAGTTAGCCCAGTACCACAACAAAGAACCTTTAGCAACATTAAGGTGCTAGTTCGTATTTTAAATCCATGATGCTACCTTATTGAACACTGCAGTGCTTGAGCCATTTTTGTAATAGGTATAAAAAGTTTTTAAATTTTAGTGTGTGAGGGTGCTGAAGTTTTGAATAGTTTTCTTAGTGGAGAGGCTAGAGGAGAGTAAGGTACATACTTTAGAGTTGTTGGAAAACATTGTTGTGAGCAAGCAAACTTACGGAGAGGAAAGGAGCATGGAGAGCAAAGTTGTGTGGGGAGATTCACTTTGGAAAAGGTTCATATGAAGGATCAGTTTGGGAACCTTCATTATGGATGATATCTAAAGATAGTGAATAGGTGGGAGAACTTTTGTTTTAAGCCTGTTCCCTGTATAGGTTTTTTTTTTAGTTCAGGAGTTCATTGGTAATGCAATGGAACCCGAGAACAACAAGGTATTAATTTGGGAGAAGTGGGTAGCATTTGATAATGTGACTATCAATAGAGTGTATGAGACTCCCAACCTAGAATTTAACAACTATTCCACCTTTATTAACACTCATGTAGAACCTCAGGAAATTCTTAGGGTATTGACTATAGCCTGTTCTGGAGCTGGGGGGGGGTCCTCTTTCTTCTCGGTCTTCTAACCTCCTTCTTCTCTACGCAAGTTCCACCCCACCTGTATCTTTCTTCTAGTTCCGTTGGCAAAGTGGTTGGCTGATTTTGGTTGGCTGTTTTAGAAAAGCTGTGGGCTGTTTCTTTTGTTGGCTGTTTTAGCAAGGTTGTTGGCTGATTGGAGAAGTTTTGGACGGTTTGGTGACATTTTGCTGGAGAAGTTAAAAGGACATTGAATCCCCCTAGCTGTGGTGGACCCTTGGTTTGCATATCTAAACCTTATTTTAAATTCTATTCCTACAATCGGTACATGTGAGGAGTCCTCTTGAAGGATGTTCTGAGGATAGTTTTTTTTTGTTAAAAATATTGTTTTCTTTGTTAGTCTTCTTTTGTTTTGATAGTTGGAAGTTGTATTTTCTAAAGATAGTTGTTTTCTTATTTTGTTCTCAAAGTTACGTCTTAATTTTTATAAAAGTAAGATTTGTTTCTCTTGATTGTTTTCTCTTTGTGCCTTGCTCTAATTAGCTTGCACCATCCTTGGAAGAAGAGAAGGTTCCCCCTTAGTAGAAATAGTTTTAAGACATTAATATTATTCCCCACTCTAATTTTGTTATAAATAAATTTAAGATCATTTTCTTCATTAATTAACCACTTTTGTTTTAAACAATTTAAGAGAAGGTTTTAAGTCTTAGGGGGAATAAAAAAAAAAAAAAAGTCTTAGATTTCATTTGTGACAACTTTTTAAGTATTTTCTAAACCAATTTTTTAGAATAAAAATTTTATGATTAAAAAACTTTTGTGTAAAAAGATTTATTTTAGGAAGCACTATGAAAAAATGCTCTCAAATGAAACTTTTTTATTGCTTTCTAGATGCACTTATAAAGCCACGGCAACTTAGAAGGCCAGACCCGACAACCTCAGACGAAATCCAGAAACCAGCATCTCCAGTCATGTGGGGGAGCGCAGACGGTGGACCGCCGGAGGTCACTTTAGAGACTACCATGGGTTCATTCACCGTTGAGGTGAAGTTATCTCATTCCTCTTCTCTCTTCTTGTCCGTTACCGTTCTCAGATTTGCTTCTGGAGTTTCTCTGGCTGACGAGGTTATGGGTTTTGGTTCTGTGGCAGATGTACTACAAGCACACACCAAAGACATGCCGGAACTTTGTGGAGCTCTCGAGAAGGGGTTACTATGACGATGTAAAATTCCATAGAATCATCAAGGTTCTCCTCTCTTCTTCAGTTATTATCGAGATTTTGTTTATGTCCTGATCTATTCGTTTCTCTTTTTTTGTTCCGGAATAGGATTTTATGGTACAAGGGGGAGACCCTACTGGCACCGGAAGAGGAGGAGAATCCATATACGGGTTAGTTTCTGTTTGCCAAATGCCCACAAAGATGGATCTTACTTTGAAGTATAAACTTTTCAAAAAAGTACTTATTGGGTAAACTTGGAATTATCCACTCAAGATATGAAAGTTAGTGCTTAATGTGTAGTGAAATCATCTAATAAGCTTGTTGAACTAATACTAATAGTTGCAAAAAAAAAAAAAAAAAAAAAAGAGGTTATAGTCAATATCGATTGTGATTTGTGCCTCTGTAATTCTGCACAGTACTAAGTTTGAGGATGAGATAAGATCTGAGCTGAAGCACACTGGTGCTGGGATAATTTCCATGGCAAATGCGGGTCCAAATACAAATGGAAGCCAGTTCTTCATCACACTAGCGCCATGCCAATCACTGGATGGTAAGGGTTTTTGAATATAATCCTATCAGTTGTTATTTTCTGTTCTAAAATAGAGCTTTTGTTAAGTTTTGGAGAGGGCTGGATTGTCAAATGTTGACAACCTGAATCTTTTATAGTTATAAGTTATCTTTTACCTTTTTCATAGTTAAAATGAGTACTCCAATGACTTCTGTTGTTGTTATTATTATTATTATTATTATTTTTGACATGCTTTTGAAAGGCTACATTGCTATCAAACTTTCATGGTTTCCTAGTAGTAGAGATTAACATTGTAGAGGTAGAATGCTGAGAGGACCAACATTTTCATGGTTTCTTAGTAGCATGAAAGTGCAAAAGGCACACTGGGGAGGGGTTATTTGGTTCTTTTAAATTTTTTTTAAGTGGTATAATATTTCAGAACCTATAAAAGTTAGGTTTGCTGAAATGAAACTTATTGGTAGAGCTAGTCAATACTGGACAAACCTAGAAAACATGCACGAAGCTCGAGGCGACTACCCCATCACTGACTAGCGAGCTATGAAACAAAAGCTCAGACAAAAGTATCTCCCTCCAAACTACTACCCCAGACTTTTAGATGGATAGAATAGACTGACTCAGGGTAGTAAACTTGTGAAAGACTACATTTCAGCCTTTGATGATTACATGATTCGTTGTAGTGGCGAAGAGACCACTACACCTGCCTAAATCCTATCCATGTTTAGAGCTGGCCTTAGGGAACACCTTTGTAACAAACTTTTTGCTTGAGGAATTACTACTTTGGAAGTAGCCTGCAACCTAGTGCTTGACCTTGAAGAGTCTAGGACTCATTCCCATTCTAGGAACCTAGACCCCCGCCCACCTCCTTTTAAAACTTCCTCTAGTTAGCCTCAAAATAAACCTCCTGGTTCTATAGCTGGTCGACCCACTGTAGGTCAATTCCCACCTTGCCTTGACTACATGGGTAAATCTCCTGAGCGTGAGACACCCAAAACCAATTATGGAACCAAGTATTTTAGGTGTCATGGGTACGAACAAATTGTCTTGCAATGTTCTAGCCCTTATAAAGTCACCATAATTGAGGAAGTTATCGATGACGAGGAAGAACCTGACACCGGGCTTGTTCATCACATTGAAGATGAGGAAGATTCCTTTTATGACAAGGGCATCGCTGTGATTTACTGCTTGCACAAGATAGATCGCGTAGGTCTTCAAGTTGTTAGGTTTGCTTTATCTCAGCCTAAACTGAGTGACGACTAGCGTAGAACTTCTATCTTCCACACCTTCACCAAGATTGGTGACAAGAACTACAAGGTTATTATTGACAGTGAAAGATGTATTAACATTGTCTCTTCCACTATGATTTCCAAACTTAACCTGAAAATGACCCCCACCCAAACCCTTATAAGGTTGCCTGGATCAATTTGACTGCCCTAGAAGTTAAGTGAAGAAACCTTATTCCCATAGAGTTCGTAGGATACAAGGAACAGATTTGGTGTGATGTTTTAAGTATGGATGTGGGTCAAATTATCCTTGGTCTCCCATCATTATTTGACAACGATATCCATATTATGGGAGAACAAACACCTACGTGTTTGAACATAATGGTAAGAAGATCAAACTTTTACCTCCCAACTCAAACCGTCTAAAGAGGAAGTTAAGCCTACTCCCATCAAACCCAATAAGACTTAAACTTCCTAACTGTAAAAGAAGTAGACGCTGAACTGATTCAAGGATCACCCATGTATGCATTAGTAGCCCAGGAAGCAATTGTGGAAATAGAAGAACCGATCTTGGAAGAATTCAAACCCCTCCTAGAGACTTTTGCTGATGTGTTCCCTATAGGTCTACTCAACCGACTTCCCCCTTTTAGGGATATCCAACATGCCAAAGATCTAGTTTCGAGAGCCTCCTTACCTAACCTACCTCATTATCAAATGAATCCAGAAGAGCATGCTAAATTGAAAGAGCAGGTTGATGACTTACTCCAACGGGGATTCATTAAAGATAGTCTAAGCCCATGTTCCATCCCTGCACTTTTAACTCCCAAAAAGGATGGTTCATGGCGAATGTGTGTCGATAGTCGAGCGATCAACAAAATCATGGTGAAATACCGTTTTCCTATTCCTCATTTTGACGATATGTTAGACATGATGATCGGAGCCACCATCTTTTCTAAGATTGATCTTAACATAGGATATTATCAGATCAAAATCCGTCAAGGGTATGAATGGAATATTGCATTTAAAACTAAGGATGGATTATATGAATGGATGTTCATGCCTTTTTGCCTTAGCAATGCCCTAGTACATTTATGAGGGTAATGACCCAAGTTCTCCACTCCTTAGGAAAATTTGTAGTAGTTTACTTTGATGATATCTTGATCTATAGCAATTCCGTGGAACAACATTTGAATCATATTAAACAAGTTTGTGAGGTTTTGAGGAAAGAACAATTGTATGCCAATCCTAAGTAATGTATGTTCCTCACAAATAGTTTGACCTTTCTTGGATTTATTATCTCTTCTCAAGGAATATCTACTGATCTAGAAAAGGTACGTGCAATTATTGAGTGGCATGAATCTTAAAATATTAAAGATGTTCGGAGTTTTCATGGATTGACCACATTTTATCAAAGATTCATTAGGAACTTTCGCATCATTGGTGCCTGTATAACTGATTTTCTTAAAAAGAGTGAATTTCATTGGACTATAGCTACCTTTAAAGCTTTTGATGAAATCAAGAAACGAATGGTAGAAGCTCCCGTCATGCATCTGCCTGATTTCTTTAAAGTCTTTGAAGTAACTTGTGACGCCTCAGATATTGGCATTGGTGGTGTCCTTTCCCAAAAAGGTCACCTCGTGGCTTACTTTAAAGAGAAGTTAAATGATATCTGGCAGCGATATTCCATCTATGATAAATAATTATATGCCATCATTCAGTACCTTAGGTATTTGAGACACTACTTGCTACCATAAGAATTTGTTATATTCTCTGATCACGAGAGCTTGCAATACATAAACTCCCAGAAGAAGCTTAATGCCCCTCATGGTCAATGGGTTGAATTCTTGCAAGTGTATACCTATATAATCCGACACGAAGCAAGATCTGAAAACAAAGCAGCAAATGCCTTAAGTTGTCATATGATGGTAATCCGAGAAATGAGGACTGAAGTGATTGGATTTGAACAAATTAAAGAGGATTATAAGGATTGCCCTGATTTTAAAGAAACCTATTCCTTGTTGACTAATGGAAGTGAACAAATAGTTGATTTTCTTTCTAGAAGATGGCTATTTGTTTAAATCCCAAAAACTCTGCATCCCCAACACATCACTTCGAGAATTCCTCGTTTGGGAATTATACGCTGGAGGATTAGCTGGACACTTTGGCTAAACAAAAACTATTGCCTTTGTGGAACATTGATTTTATTGGCCTAGTCTTAAGCGAGATGTTAGTAAATTTGTCAAAAGGTGTCATACTTGTCAATAAGCTAAGCAGCGCAAACAAAACACTGGTCTCAACACATCTCTCCCCTTACCTAATTGCCCTTGACAGGATGTAAGTATTAACTTTGTCCTTGGATTACCAGACTTTTAGAATGCATGATTCAATTTGTGTAGTGGCTGATCGTTTCTCTAAAATGACCCATTTTCTCCCCTGTTCGAAAACTTTTGATGCCTCTCAGATCGCGAAATTATACTTTGATGAGATTGTTAGACTTCACGGACTACCCAAAACTCTAGTGTCTGATTGAGACATCAAATTCACTAGTTATTTTTAGAAGGCTTTATGGCACAAAATGGGTACCAAACTCCAATTTTTCACTGTTTTTTACCCGCAAATTGACGGACAAACTGAAATTGTGAATAGGAGTTTAGGAAATATCTTAAAGACTTTAGTAGGGGAACATATTAGAGATTTGGACTCCAAACTTCCTACTGTTGAGTTTGCTTACAATAATTCTGTTAATCAAATCACAGGTCTAAGTCCCACTGAAATTGTGTACGGGTATCAACCTAGACAGCCTATTGATTTGATCAATATGTGTCCTAGGTTAAGAGCATCTGAGTCCGCATCCGCATTTGTATCACATCTCTAGGAATTGCATAAAGAAATTAATAAGAAGATTGAATTGAGCAATGCTAATTATAAACTTAATGCTGATCTTTAAAAAAGATTTAAAGAATTCAAGGTTGGAGATTTTGTAATGGTACAGATTCGTCCGGAGTAGTTTCCACAAGGAACCGTTAAAAAGTTACATGCTAGAAGCACATGACTTTTTAAAATATTATAAAAATTAAAGAGTAACGCTTATGTGCTAGACCTTCCTAAGGCTTTAACATGAATCCTACATTTAACATTGAAGATTTAGTAGCCTTTGAGGGATCAGAGTTTAACCCCAAAAAATCCACTAAATATTGAGCCTTGTGTGACACTACATGGTGAACCCTAGCCTACCTCCACTTCCAAATATCCCTACTTTACCTAATGCGGAGAAAATTGAAGCAATATTTAGCGATGAAATCATCTCCACTAAAGATGGTGGGTGTGAAAGGTACCTAGTTCAGTGGAAAGGGAAACCGGAGGCATAGTACACATGGATTGATCGAGATGAGCTACAGAGATTGGACCCTTATCTTTTAGAGTTGTACGAGAGTTTCCGAGACACTTACTCTACAGGGTTGAGCTTTCTCCCATCCGGGGAGAATGACAAGGACATCAACAGGAGATTTCGACGCATCTACCATCGGAGGAGTCATAGATCGACGGCTACGATTCAGAGTCAATATTTATGATGCATTTTTGTATTTCTCTTTTTTTAAAAAAATTTCAATTTTTCCATGGTACCCATGCATGGGATTTCTCGCATGTTGTAGCCTCGAGGGCATTTGAGTCTTTTATTTTTTCTTATTGTGAGACTTATATTTAGAGATCTTCACTGTTTTATGAGGTGATGATTGATTAATGAAAACTTCAGTTTTAGTTCTTGTCTTCTTGTGGGTTCTTGAGAGAAGAGAGAATCCT